ACAAATACTAATACTTAGAAATATAAAAAAACTAAACTAAAAATCTAAAAGAAACTATTGCTAAAAAGAAGAAAACCAGATTCAGCAAACATGTATAGAGCAAATTCAACAAATATGTATCGAGGAGTTTCGACTGATATGTATAGAGAGGATTCATCCAATATATTTGGAGTGGATTCAACCAATATATTTGGGGCGGATTCATCTAGCATTTTTGGGGCAGATTCAACTAATGTACTTGGAGAGAATCCAACCAATATGTTTGGAACAGATTCCACCAATATATATGGAGTAGATACAAATATATATAGGGATTCGTCAAATGTTCTTAAAGAATCGAAAGTAGCAAATTCTGACGATCCACAAACAAATTATTTTGTCGATAGTGCACCTAACAAAAAGTACAAGAATGCTTTAGGTAATGCTATTGGAATAGATATACTTAATCAAAGGATAGTGGATTTAGAAAAAGAATTGGCGAACCAGATCGAAAAATCCGAGAAAATTTTGAGAGATTTTGATACCGCAAGATGTAAGAATAATGAATGCATTTTCTAAGTTTATAATTGAAACTAAAATTATTGACATTAAATTTTTGGTAAAAGATGCTGCTCAAAAATACAAGAATGAATTATACGGGCCTGTTTATATTGATGGCGATCAAAGATCAATCAACAAATTGTTGAGTCACATTAGTAAAAATTGCGGTCCTGATGTACTCAAAGAATTTAAAAGAACTTGTGATGCTCAACCTACAGTATCTCAAATTTTCGAGTGGCTTGAAGATTCAGGTTGGTAATTATTAATGTTCAAAACAGAGAAATTTACATGATCTAACTTAATTGTTATTTAGGTTATTTGATTCCTGCTATTCTTCAGGATTTTCGTGCCACGGAAACAGTTGTATGGTTAGATTTGACATATACTTTTGAAGCGATGAAAAAAGAGGCCTCGAACAAGTTCATTTCAGAAAATCGGTTCAAACCAACTGAAAAGCAACTTTTGAACCGACATATGCTGATTTCTGGACAATTGTTGGGTGTATTTGCATTACCTAATAGTTTCCATCAACTGACCTCATTGAAATTGAGTTCCATTCCTATCAGAAACACTGACATCGTAAATTTGCGAGGTCTTAAGAAATTGAATGAATTATTTATTGATGACACTGGAATTGGAAATGAAGCTATTGCTCACATTGTAGCGCTCAAGAGGACTTTACGAAAGATAGATCTTACAGGAAACAATGAAATTGATGACGACGCAGCTTATAATCTTATTTACTTAGAAAATATTGAAATAATTTTTTTGGATGGTACTTCAATGTCAATGGATGGGATTCGCAAGTATGTTAGCATGACGAAAAGTCCAAGGCTCTCGCAAATAACTATTCCTAAGGAAAGTCGCAATTATCTCAATCGACGCAATGAAATTTATTGCATTGAGCGCAAATATGGAATGATAGAAGATCCTTCACGCGTACAACATCTACCGCTTTCCCATATTCGAGCACAATTAAAATTCCACTATGAAGTCAACGACAAAATCAATATCACAGGCTCGTTAGAAGAATTGGCCAAAACATTAAAAGATATTTTGAAACGTCGTAGAGATGACGCAAAAGTAATGTATTTGGCTGGTGGGCGTGATAAGTAAATAATAATGATTGTTATAAATAGGGTTACGACCCAAACTCCTTTTTGATTTACACTATTACATAGTTGGTCGTGATTTCTACATCATTTTGGATAATAACCAAAATTTAAATATACATCCATTTTCAATCAAATATAAATTCAAACAAATAAAATTTGTTAAATCCATGCGATAAATTATTAGAACTTTATTTTTATTCGAATAATTGTATGATCTGATATATTTAGGTAATACGAATATCTGTATGGTATGTAAGGATGTGAAAAGCCCGGTCTATCCCAAAAGTCGAATTCTTGTTTAAGTTCGGTCTCAAGTCAGAATTGGGACTTCGACTCACATCTGCATCTGCACGTGCATTTAGTATATTTAGATATCTTCCCGATATCTTCCCCAGTATCGCCAACAAAATTTTTACCATCACGTGATGTCCGACAAAATTCTTTAAGTTCGTTTATGTTAAGTAGAGCTGGGACCCGTGAATATTCACGGATAAAATGAATATTCAACAAAATCCGTGAACAATCGAGAATTATTTAAGGATATTCTGTGCGAATAATCTATATGAATATCCGTGCAAATATCTGCATGAATATTCCATGCAAATATTTTTGTGCGAATATCCGTGTAAATATCTGTGAATATTCTGTGCGAATATTTGATAAATATGAGAAACGTAATCACGTGAGATTTTCTGAATATCCACGAATTCCCTGAATATCTTGCGTATTCTCTATGAATATCCGCGAATTCCTTGAATATCTGCAACTTCTCTATGAATATCCGTGAATTCCTTGAATATCCATATAAAGTGTGTATATTCATTCATTACTATTCGCGAATGACTAAAATCCGCGAATTTTCTCCAAATAACCGTGATGGATATTCAAAGGATCCCAGCTCTAATGTTAAGGTTAGGGCCTATTTTAGTGTTAGAGTTAAAGGTTCTAACAGTAAAATCGTTCAAGAAAAACTTTTTATTAATGCGTAGAAGGTGGTTTCCTATGCAGATTTTGAGATACAAGCGATTTTTGACAAAATGAATGTTTGTTTTGAATTTTTCTGATCGTGTGATATTACACCAAATCAAGATTCACTATTGGCTTATTTCGTTGATCATCATGTAATGATAAAAATTATATAGAAATTATAGAAATTTTGTTGGTGATCCTGGGGTAGTTATATTTAGATATAGCATAGCAACATAAAAAAGGAACTCTACTAGGAGCCTTGTCACTTACACTCACTTTCCCAGTATCGCTACCAAAAAGTTACTATCACGTAATCTTTGATAAAATTCTTTAAAGCTTATGTTAAGAGGTTTTAATAGCAAAATCGCTCAAGAAAAATTTTTTGTTAATGCACAGGTGGTTTCCTATGCAAAATCTCAAGTTATAGGTGATTCTTGACAAAATGAACATTTGTTTTGAAATTTTCTGCTTGTGTAATATTATATCTGATTTTGAAATCTGATTTGTAACTACTTGCAAAATGTGGATAATTGCCTATAATTTAAAAATCTATATAGAAAATTATCTTTAGTATTCTAATAAAAGGTTTTCCTTCAATAACAATAATAACCCTAACAACCGACAGTATTGAACACTCTTCCTGATGATCACTTGTACTAACCTAACACCAAAAGCAAGTTGAAGATTCAAGCCTAGAAGTTGACAACAACTTGAAGTTTTCTTAATATAAACTGTTATCAACGAAGTCTTTAAACGTGATACACTGAGAAGCGGGTGTTTTGAATGATTTGCAAAGAGGTCAAGCCTTGCTTTTCTGCTATTTTTGGGGTAGACTCCCCTTTGCATTTGGCATCTAAACCGGAGGAGTTTCTGAGAACAGCAAGTAGAAAAGAAAATTAAAGTTAGTTTGAAGATGAAAGACTTTGAAGAACTCTTGGAACAACACTCCTTGGTTGAAAACCTTGCAGAAACTCAATGTTTCCTCGCTGTCTTTTGGCTTCAAAATTTTCGACAAAAAGTAAGGAATTCGGCTTACCCCCTCCAAAAGATCAGCATTGTTTACCACTTTCATATCGGGAAACTAGATGATGACAAATTGGCACATGTTACAAAATGAATAAAATGATAACAACAAGTCATGTGGAGTTTTTAAAGTCTTATACTTTTGGATGAAGATATGGATTTAATAGGAAAAAGTCAAGCAAAGTATTTTAAGATATACAATGTGTCCCTTGTATATAATTTTTAGCCTCTGGCACGAGTTATAGTGCATTTTGTTTTAGTTTTACGGTTTTATTTTTGTCAAAACTCTCACACTTAATAGTAGATTATTACTCTATATAATTAGAAGTTTTTGCCTGATTAGCAGGTTTTCTTCTTTTTAGCAATAGTTTCTTTTAGATTTTTAGTTTAGTT